ATCTTCAGCGTCGTCGGTGCCATCCGAAGCTATGCCCTTCCAGCCTGCAGGATTGTTGAGCACATCTTCCCAACCAAAGATGGTGGCCTGCAATGAGGTCAGTGGGAGCCACGTCCACCGTTGAGCATCTGGGACATCTGCGTGCGGGGGTAAAGCATCGTGGCGAGCAACCGAAGTATCGACGACTATGAGGAAGCACTCCTTGGTGCAAGCCGTGTGGTTGCCGATGAGGCCCCGCTCCATTCCGATGAACTTGCTCGGGTGTCCATTCCCGAGAACTGAAAGAGAAATGTGCTTGCTCTTTACACCTTCCCCGTAGGAAGTTGAAGTGCGTGTCGCTCGCTTGGTTCTACCCTGGGCCACCAGGGTGTTCAAAGTGCTGGCGTGTGAATTGATCACACTGCGTTCCGATGATGCCGAAATCTTAGGAGCAGCACCCATCAAAGAAAAGTTCTCCATGAATTCATAGGCCTCATCCACATTGAATGCTTGGCCCCACGCTTGTTGCTTCCAACCTGCAGGGGTGTATACTACGACCGCAAGCAGCAAACCGACTAAAAATGATGCGGGAAGCGGCTGAGAGTCCAGAGGCTAGAACAAATATATCCAGCCTGGCATTGCGGAAAGTCTGCACTGCACCGGAAAAAGAATTCTGTGGGGGTACAGCTCTGGACAGAAATTGATTTCACGAGGAAGGCAATCTCCCCCTCTGCTGCTCCATCCCCCTCTCGGAAGGTTTGGGCATGTTGACGGGCCTTGTCCTCCAAAATGTCGTCCGCTGTCTCAAAGAGTATGTCCGTGGCCTGGAAAAGGCGCGACTTTCCTCTTTGAGCCGGCGCCACATGAAAGACCATCAGTGCAAGGGGAGATGCCTTCTGCGACCACATCCTCACAGCTGCCCCATTCGACAACGCAGCCATTGCCCCAGCAAATTGCGTGCAGGTCACATACAAGCCCTGGCACGAAGACGTGCTAATTGGTTCTAGAAAGGAGCGGGCTGCTGGTGGAAGATGAGCAGGGTCAAACTTCTGCTCCACAACCTGCACCGCATTCTTCATAAGGACCTCCAAATCTTGACTGGACAGCTCTTCATTGGCCTTGGCCATAGTCAGCAAGGTTGTCCTCGGCGCAGCAGCGAACAGGATGCGTGCTTTGGAAGTGGCTGGTTTGACAAGTGAATGGTTTTTGACATGTGTATTCAGGAGTCAACTGTGGAACAGCGCGAAAACAGCGAAGGGTTTTCACACGCTGAAGATCAGATACTTGGGGAGAAAAACGACGCATATAGGCACACTGTCGGCCAGAAAGAAATCTTAGCCTAGGTTCTGACTTTAGGGGATTAATTGTGCCTCTGTGCGGGCAAAGCGCTGTGTTCTGATGCTGCTTGTCGACCAGAGGGTTGCCAAAGGCTCGTTTATCAGACTCTTTGGGACAATGGCTGCGGCTAGGAACAACAGAGAAGATTGGATGACAGCTTCTCCTTTTCGTTCACACTGACATTGCCCTGAACATCTTCCACGCAAATACAACAAGGCTTCTTGAACGGTTGGTAAGGGTGGAAGGGCGTGGAACTTTTTCAACTAGTTGAAAGGGCGACAAAAGCCGACAATCTGCAGGTAGAGGAGTCCTGCCAAAACGGCATCTCATGTTCCCAATGAAACGGCTTTCCCACAGGCGCTACCCCCGTGCATGTCTGCGTTTGACTGCAACGGCTCTCTGCAGGCTGCCAGTGGCCAGCAGCAACTCAACCAGCCATACCAAATCACACCCGATTCATTGTCACCCCGGAATGACTCACCCTGCGCAGTTTCCCACCCATCCCACATCCCTGATGGTTTTGGTGCGGCTTGTTTGGTAGCGGTCAGCGACCTTGACCAGTGGAACTGGTACGTGCAGCTGACTGCAAAGATCCCTCCCCCCTCCCCTGCAAGCTGACAAGTCAAGGAGCTTATCGAGCTTATGTAATTAATCCTTGGGAGGCCATGAAATTCTGCCAAAAAGGATAAGCTGGGCATGTTCTCACCTTGTTTTTGCACCGTTGGCTCAATATATGACATCGGCAAGGCGCCAAGACCAGACAACAGGTTCACCTTAAAACCTTGTTCTTATACCTGCTTTTTGAGGGTTATGATTCGAGCTATGATTCGAGGATATGAATCGCTCAAGTCGAACTTCCAACCGCTATATCGAGAAGGGCGCACAAAAAGAATGTAAACCCGTTGGCGTTCCTGCCTACCCCAACCAAGCGCGAACGCCTGCACAAAACACGCAAGTACACACCGCAAAGTCTTCTTGAGATAGCGGCAGCGCTTAGACGAAAAGATTTTTATGGGTCGCGTGGGCGCAGAACACATCATCAGCGCGCGAGGCCAAGTCAACCTACAGTCTTCAAGCGTACGGGTGGCCGGATGGCCGGCTGGCCAGCGGCCGGCTGGCCGCAGTGGTCGGGCCTTGGCCGGGCCGTGGCCGGATGGCGCGGTGGCCGGGCCGGTGGCCGGGCCGTGGCCGGGCTGGCCGGTGGCCGGCCTGGCCTGGTGGCCGGTGGCCGGGGCCGGTGGCCGGAAACGAAAAAGTCTATTGTGGAATTTGAATACAGTGGGTTGGATGGCCAAGTTCATCAATGATGATTTAGCAAGGTGGTGAGCGTGTTTTTGATACCACGACTGAATCCCAGGGTTAGTGTATAACACCGCTGTCCTTAACTGTGAGTATCTGAGGTATAGGTACCTAGTTCTTGTAGAGTTCAGCTCTGTACGCGTCCTGCCTTCATATTGTTCTGCTTGTGGCAGCCATGTTCAGCGACATTAAAGCACGCCTCGACACGCGAAAACAACGAGAACCGCCCCCAGGAATACTCAGGAGCAGAAACAAACGGAATCCCCCTACGAAAAAAATACTGACAAGTGCGTTAACCTAACTTTGAGCCGAAAGCAATCTTCCATCAAATTCGCCGATGGAGCCACTGTAGCCTGCAATTCTTTTTGCCACATACCTCCATACCCTCTTCACAGATACTGTTGATAACAAAAACTCTGATCCGCATCGCAGACTCAGTACGCACCTGCAACAGACTCCATTTTCCCCAGATAGCGACAGCTATGGGTTCTTACTTCAAAGAACAATGAGTTGCCCGTGCGCGCTTTCGAGACAGGTTGCTGGTGCTGGGTGCCGGTGCTGGTGCTGCCGGTGCTCGTGCCGGTGCCGGGTGCTGGTGCTGGCTGTGGTGCTGGTGCTGGGTGCTGCTGTGAGCTGGCTGTGCGCGTGGTGGAGACAGGGCGCCGGTGCCGGGTGCCGGTGCCGGGCTGTGGTGCTGGCGGTGGGGTGAGCTGGCTGTGCGCGTAATGGAGACACGGTGCCGGGCCTGTGAGCTGGCAGTGCGCGTGGTGGAGGGTGGGCGAGTGCTGGGTATACCGATGCTGGGTGCTGGTGCTGGGCGCCGTGAGCTGGCGTGCCGGTGCTCCGTGCTGGTGCCCGCTTCTGACAGTGAAGTGATAAGTACCGCCGCTTCTGACACTTGCAGCAGTGAAGGGCGACCAAGCGCCGCTTCTGACAATGAAGTGCCAGCAGTCATGGGCCGCATGAACTTATGCGCGCAACATCGTACGGTGCTGTCGCTTGAGCGTTCTTTGTCTATTAGCGCTGTGGGGTATTTACACTCTTCAGGTTCTGTTTTGGCCGACAGCTGCGCCAAGGGCCGTACTGTTTGCGCGCATACTTTTGTACGTACAATGTTCTATGCGCAACGTCAGGCTCTCAACCGACCAGTTTCAGCATGTTTCAGCGTGCTACACACACAAAAGTCGTGCTGGATACTGCTTGGCATTGGGCGAGTGAAGCCTACGGGCTTTGCCGTTTGTGCGCATACTTTTGCGCGCTAAACTTTTACGCGCAAGATCATACGGCCTTATCGTTCTGCAGATCGTTGCTTCAAGCACGCTACAAAGTCAATAGTGGCGCACGCTTGGCCTTGGGCCAATGACACTTACGGGCTTTGCTGTTTGCGCGCGTACTTTTGTGTGCATAAACTTATACGGCCGCCGCCGGTGTTGTCAGCTGGGAAAGCGCGCCGGTGCTGGTGTCAGCTGATTGCGCGCGCTGTGGAGGTAAGCTGGCTGTCGCACGTCAACAGGTCGTGGGATTCTGCCTAGCTATCTGGGCCTATGCTGGTGTAACTTTGGACAAACACGCGAAACTCTATTTCATGGAAAGTTCAAGTTTTTGAGTCAGTCCTTCGGAGTAAACTGTTATATGTCCGTGTCTGTGTATACATACAAATATCCTTAGAAACATTCCAGATCAGGGGAATGACCAACGCATCTGTCAAAGAGTTTCTCAAAAACGATCATGGGGTCACAGTCGTAGTGTTCTCCAGATTCTGGTTGAAACGAAAGATGCATCGTTTGATTAGACCCACAAGATCCCATGCGCCAGGTCCTTTTGCTTCCTAATTCGCTCGTGCCTAAAACTGAGCACGCAAGAGGATTCAGCAAACCCAGAGCTCACTGGCCGATCTAAACTTATGCTGATGCTTTTCGAGAAAGTGGTCAAGTAGATCAGTTTGACATCAGCAACAAACAGTCATCAATCAAATCTAGTCAACACCTTGACCCAACAAAGGCACGACATTCTTCCCCGACCCTTTTCCACCCACCTCGTCACCGAAAGCTTGATCACCAAAAGCATCGTCGCCGAGTGCGGGCACATGCGTGATCAAAATGCTAGGTTTCTTAACGCTATATATGCTCTTTTTGTGTGTTCCCCTTCCCCCACCGCCTTCTTGTTATTTTGATTGGCACCCCTTCCCAATGATTCAGATGGAAACAAAAACGGTGGTGCAAGGCTTGTAAGTTTCAACTCATTCTGCAAAGCAGATGGCTAACCACTGTGGATTCTGCGTTCAGATCGGCTTGTGCGATGCAACGTATTTATTTCTTAAGGTCTGAAGGTGTTTCATGTGGCACAGTGGGAAGGCCCCGAGATCCCTGCCGGTGTTGCCTGAGGTCGTTGCCATGCTGGCAGGCATCTTCATCCTGGCTCTGGGAGATGAGACGGATGAAGTCTTGAAGCAGTGTCCTGAGAAGCCGCGAGTTTCCATGGGCACACCAGTTCCTTAATTTGACAAGCCGCATTATTGGCGCTGGTGTTGTTTGGTGTTTGTAAGCTGTTTGGTCCAAACACGGTGGGCTTCTTTGGACTTCGCAAGAGAATCGCGCCATTTTTCTGGACATTTGGCCTGGTCAATGACCAACGACCAGTGACTTGGTCAGTGAGCCAGAGATGTACACACCTTCCCCCTTGGCTTCCCTGAGCGCTCATGAAGGCAAACAGGTGTTTCACCTCGAAGACCCAGTTGAATGGCTGTTGCGCTACACAGGCTTTCTTCCCGTGCTTGGCATTTAGCAAGGTTGGTTGTTTATTCAGCAGCCTGACCTGAAGGAAGATCAAGGAGCTTTGACCAGATTCTTCGCGAAGCAAAAGAAGAAAACTCACGCCGCATAACAGACAATTTCAGCAAGAACTAGCCAGAGCTGTTGCTTTAGTCTTCGCTACCTATCGTCAGTGCCCTTGGGCTTCGGCGCAAGCTCTGAAGCTGCGTGTTTTCTATTGCGAGTTGGCAGCGCTACGAAGCGGCGAAGTGGCTCCTTCGCCATTTCCCATGCGCCCTTTGTTGCATCTGCGTCACCATTTCTCAGCCCACTGCTGTGGCACAAGGTTTACTACTTTTTGTTCCCCAGATAGCGAAGCTATGGGGTTCTTATTTTTCCAGTAACAATGAGTTGCCCGCGCGCGCTTCGAGACAGGTTGCTGGTGCTGGTGCTGTGAGCTTGCTGTGCACGCGTTGGAGACAGGTTCGGTGCTGGTGCTGGGCGCCGGGCGCCGGTGCTGGTGCTGTGAGCTGGCTGTGCGCGCGGTGGAGACAGGTTGCTGGCGCCGGTGCTGGTGCTGGGTGCCGGGTGCGGGTGCTGGTGCTGGTGCTGTGAGCTGGCTGTGCACGGGGTGGAGACAGGCTGGTGCCGGTGCTGGTGCTGTGCGCTGGGCGCCGGTGCTGGTGCTGTGTGTCTTAGCGTTCGCGACCGTTGTCAACCGTCCGCAACCGTCTGCATCTACAACCGTCCGCGACCGTCCGCAGGAGGATGCTATTAGGCCGCTGCCATCGGGGGAAGGTTTTGAAGAGGGTTTGGCATGGAAGCGTGATGTGTCAGATTCGTGTGAAATATCGAGGAAACGTGTGGAAACGTAAGATGTTGAAGTGTGGAGGATGAGTTCACTGCGCAGGCGCAGCTTTTTGTGAGATCGGCAGTTTTCAGCGCAGTCACATTGGGGTTAGCGTTTGGAGAGTGGTGTTTTTGGGGTGTTGGATGTGGCTGCATTTCAGGGTCTCTGTTTTCGTGACAGGTCTCAGCTGAAATGGCGATTTTGGTGGATGGGAGTCGAAATCATTCCAAACGTGTGGTGTGGTGCAAATTTTGTTGAAGCTCACATGATATGATATTCTCACTTTTCATGGCAGGGGCAGTACTCTGTGCGGGTTTTGAGGTTTGGAAGTGGCAGGCGCAGGGAATCGTGAGGTAGCGAGGCCTGGCGGAGATCACATTTTGTGGCAGGCGCAGTACTTTGTGCATGTTGGAGGCGTGAGTGGCGGGCGCAGGGAATCGTGAGTTGTGGTGGAGGTGCGCGTCGCCGTGACAATGGGATTGGCGTGTGAGCAGGCGTTGTTTGGAGGGGCTGGAATCGCAAAACTGCCTGGCAGGGCTGCTTGATGTGTGCGCTCCGGGCTCTGATTGGCGATTGGTGTTTCCGCTTGGCTTTTGGAGGAAGTCTCGTACGAAACGCTCGTTTTGGAGGATTGACGCATGAAGTGTGGAGGAAGCCTTGTACGAAACGTGGGTTTTGGAGAAAGTTGTGCGTGAGTGGGACGTGGCTGGGTGACTGGTCCATGACCGCGCTACTGCGCGGTTCTCCTTTTGCTTTCTTGAGAGGCGCCAATGCTTTCTTGAGAGGCGCCAATGATATCCTCGGAGCAGAAGTGGTGGACGGCGCCATGCTAGTTCGCTACAAAAGAGGGCGACAGCTCCGTGACGAGGAGCAAGAGAGTGCGTTCTGGCGCTGATGAGGTGAGATGCAACAACGCGCGATCTTACGTACCTACTTTCAAGAAAACCAGACGCCGCCGTTGTGGATTTCTCTGTATTATGTGGACGGTTACCAATTTCAAGTGCTTATTTTCGAGATTTTGGGACAATTCCATTGTTTCTTTCGTGCTGTGGATCTGCTACAAACTTTACGCCAGTGCCTGATTTGAATGCAAAGCGAAGACTCTTCATGAATGCTACGGAGCTTGGTGGTGGAGTTTCTAGCGCATGCTGCCTTGGTGGTGGAGTCCCCAGTGCATGATGTCCCTGGTTCGCTTGCTCATGTGGCTAGCCAGTCTCGCATTACCGAGCCGGAGCGTGAAAAACTGATTTGACCAGGTGTGTATGTTCAGCAGTCACATGTCGCACATGCTTATGTACCAGACAACGTTAATTAACACTTGAACGAGAAAACATCATTCACATGAAAAGCCGTACCATGATGTAACATAGAATACGTTGTTTGCTTGTAACTAGTCGAACGTGTTTGCATTCGGGTTTGTGGGTTCCACCTTGCTGTGCAGTCTTTTTTGGTTTCAAGCACCGGATCAGGTTAAATTGAATGTCTCACAAGGCGACAGCTCTTTCCCAAACTAGATCCAATTTGACTATAGGGGTAGAGTATGGGGTAGGGCAGATAGCTAGATTCATTCTGTTTGACTCACACGTGTAAGTCAAGTGCGCAAGGGAAGCCTCAGTTCACCCTCCATGAAATGCTTTTAGAGCGATTTTGTTTGACATCAAATTTTGCAAATAAATGCCTGTGATTCAAGACATTTCTGCTTTCACACAAATTGAGTTGGTGTACTTGTTGCAGTTTCGCAATACCTCCAAGAGTCACGAGGCGTGAAGGAACCTTTGGCAGAAGGCACAAAATGTTGTAGCAATTTGACTTACAGAACTGTATATTTGTATTGCCAAAGCCAAAGGCAGTAGTGCAGAGTGCAGAAGAGCGGTTTTCCATTTTGCACATTTTCAATTGTTTGGGATATATACGCGTTTTCTTTGGGAGAAGGAATTGCTGTCTATCACAGAGTTTTGTTTCTGTTGCATTTACTGTAAGCACAGTTGAAGAATCTGAGGTTGTTTCCTGGTCCACTGAGCACCAGAAACAATTGAACCCGACATTTTGTTTGATGGATTGGATAGACAACATATTTTACACCTCTACTGACCTTGAGTTTACTTCCCATTCGTTTGATTCCACTTGCGTTCCTTTCCTGATCTTGAACCTGATTTTTCTTTAGCCACAAAACATCCAATTCATAAGAATTGGTTTGACAGGTCGTACAAAGCAAAAGACAGACACCAACCTTCAGACCACGCACAAGTTGTGAGAATAGACTCAGATCAACGGCCAAAGGCTGAACTTGAGGTGTTTTAATCCCGCCTGGGTGTCACCATTCGTGGCAGCTGGTGAATTGCGCCAAGGTTCGTGCTGATGTACCTTTTCCTCGCCTTGATGACAGTGCCCGAAGCGCGCCCAAGAGTACAGAAGCAGATGTGATGTCCACTCGAAACGTTTGCTGACTCTCCGTTTTGCATTTGACAGGCCGGCAGCTTTTACCTTTACGTCAGACAGGCCAGGCAAGTTGGAGAACCAGGTTCCACTTGTTCCGGTCTTGTGCACAGCCCGGACAAGATTCAGGCCACACACGAAGCAAGCATGCAAGCAATCAATTTGTTTCGTGACAAAGGCCTTTCGAGCCTTTGCAGAAGGCATCCTCCATCTACATGTACATTGTACATGACATTTGTGATACAAAGACTAGTGCACTAAAGGTCTTTGTAGGGATTGTTGAAATTGGATCTTGGAGGTGCAGATCGAGAAATTCATGGCACAAAACTCTGAACCCCAGTGGCAGGCACCTTTTTTCAGTTTCCAACTTTGTGAAGTGGTTGTCACTTGGACAGGATAGATCAGTGTTTACGTACCAACGCCCTTCGTGGATAGTTGCAAAATGCACGAAACGAACAAACTCAGAAGGATCAGAGGTCCAATGCATTCGCCAGTTTGCCTTGCCCAGCTTGAATGCTCCCGACAAGTTCATTGAATTGTACATCTGTATAATTCACAAGGATGGCTGGGTATCGGCAGACCATTTGCCTTGGCAAATTGATTTGCCGTGCAGGCGTTGTAGCCAGGTCAAACCATTTGTGATGGCTCTGCAAGAGTCTGAGGACCTCAGCGTCGGCATTTGAAATCCTAAATTTTATGCCGAAATCACTGCTTCCCTGGCGTGATGTTCACAGGTTGCATTGTACTTGGACCAATCCAGTTGTTTTGCCCACCAAAGCAAGCGAAAACAACAGATTGGAATATATATAATATATAATATATATATATGTATGTACGTACGTACGTACGTATGTATATATGTATGTATGTATGTATGTATATATATATATATTCATGCCGCTCCGCGGCAAGGTCCGCCCGCACCGCCATGAAGCAGTTGCCCAACAACAAGGGCGAAAACAGTCACCCACACAGCCTCGAAATCAGAAAAGCCCTACAAGTCAATAGCGAGTCGGATGAGTGATGGCATGACGCAACAATGTCAACGATCGTAGACGGTAATATGCCAGAAGTACGCGCTATCTTCATTCATCATCATATATCCAAACAGATTGTTGCGTTCAGCTCCCGCTCCCAACAGATATATTGTGGAGCTTTGCATCTGCCGAAACACCGTTATTGACAGTGTTTTCATACGCCGGAAAACAACAACCACTAGAAATAGCGAGGTTTTTGACGTTGACGTTGCCGAAAACAAAACTCTGTACTATGCTCTGTGAGGCAGAAGCCACTGCAAATAGCGATGTTTTTGAGCTTGCCGTGGCCCAACGCACTGCTACTAACAGTGTTTTTGAACCTGCCGTCAAAAAACACCGCAATGTGCGACGTTTTCAACGACATGGGCCAAACAAAATCTGAGGTGTTTTTGCAACTCGACCGAACAATGGTTCTTGAGACCAGGGGAACTGTTGGTTTCTTTGATGAGCTCACTAGAGTAGCTGCCCTGGGAGGGAAACCATCCTGCAATGCCGGCTGCTCACTCCATGCAGCCACAGTCTCAGCTGTTGTGTGCTCGCAGAAGCATTGGAGCGTTTGCAGCCTGTTTGTACCAAAGATTAGAATGAACATGAAGCATCAACCCAGCCGATTGCACACTGAACAATTCCCACGCAACGTTTTGATCCGGGCACCACGTCGCTGCATGAGGCATACATACGTTTCGGAGCCTAGGATTTGCTGCAATTTTGTAATGTCTTCACGCAAGTTTGCCTCTTTCAAAGGCTCGTATCTGTTGTGAAAGGGCACTTGGGCTTCATCAGTTTCATCCGCGTCTTTAGGTCCAGCCATGGCCTCCCGGCTTTGCTCTTGGAAACAGTTACTTTCCACTGCTTGAGAGGACTCCTTGGAAGCTGAATCTTCCTTCAACATGGCCAAATGGTACAGAACGATTGAAACCAAATCTTCGCAGCATGATCAAGACTGTGACTATACTGTATATATAGATATACATATATTTGTATATATATATGTACTAATTACAACACATTGACACTTGAACATCTACACCAGAATGGGGTTGTCTGACTGCGGATCTGAGGTCCAGTGAACGTCCCTCAGTTTTCGGTACACCGCCTGCCGTCCCTGCTGTGTTCACATGTTCACCAAAACAGGTTGAACTGCCACTTTGTGTTCTTGTAGCATTTTGCTATTTGTTTGGAGGCCATTGCTATTATCTTGAGTATGGAGGTGTTGGATGACTGGGAACCTTTCTCGGCATTTTGGCTCACGGGTGGTGCTATAAAGTTCTTCTGCATTGCTGGGATTCCTGGTTGAGACAGCAATTGAGGTGTCTACACTTAAAACCGACTTCCCAGCATTTTCCCAGGTGGTGGCATAGCAGACATGCAAGCTGAGGCTTCGGTGTCTTTGATCTCTTCCTTGTCATTGTTCTTGTTGCTATAAAGACAATAAAGGCGCTGCCTGCTTCGGTTGCGGTCCAGTCCTCAATTAATCCTGTTAGCGGGCAGGAAGACTGAGGCAGGTGACACGCTTGAACATATTGTAGCAGCAAGAACATCAACATGATCAGGATCTGTGGGAATGCAGCTAGTGCAGCTCATTTGAGCCAAATTCCAAGGTTGCAAATGGCCGGCTGAGGCATGGATATTGATATCCACTGCAGCATGATGATTGATATCTATATATATATATGCTTGAGACTGGTGACTTGATGCTTCCCAATTCCAGGCCATTTGCTGAAGGCAAAGGCCAGACATGACGATTTGCTGCGATGTGGTTTTTGAGCAATGATATATATATATATATAATATAGGTAACTCGCGTCGCAAGTTGATATGATTACTATGCAGTTCATTGTAAGAAAGAAGACCGTGTTTTTGATGGATATTTAGTATTACTTCATGCACGAGGCATTGGGCCGACGAGTGTGCATACATCCAGTGGGCAGGCAGACACGTACACAAAGACATTTGGAAAGAAGACTACAAACTTTCGCTGGAATAGATTCTTGTTTTAAACAGTTTGAGGTATACCGCCAGGCACATACGGGCGTAGCTGCTGCAGTGTTGACCCTGGGCGCCTTTGCATTGCGGCAGAGGCATGACATTTTGGCAGGAGAATGTTTCAACGTCGCAGACAGATCTTGCTTTGTGGATGTGTGTGTGTGTGTATGTAATGCAATGTAAGGTAATGGTATTGTATGGTATAGTATAGTATGGTATGACACGGTAATGTATGTATGTATGTATGGATGGATGTGATGTGATGTGATGTGATGTGATGTGATGGTATGGCATGGTATGGTATGGCATGGCATGGTATGACTGATCGGCGGCACCCTGTGTGGAGGGGATCCAGCTCCGCCGCCGCACCATGCCCAGCTTGGATGGTGGGCTGTGCAAGTGTGGCTTGGAGGGCCTCAAGGACTTCGAGGTCGCTGTCCTTTCGAGCTTGGGTGTTGCATGAACAGCCCCCTAGAGTGCTGCTAGAGGCCTTGAGGCCGAGCCCTGTAAAGAAAAATGGGGCGCTTCAGGGCAAGCTTGGAGGCATTGGATAACCTCACGAGGCCGACCGGGAGGCTCAGAGAATTCGTGAGGTCGAGGTGGAGAGTGACACAGTGCCTGTCAAAAGCAGGGGCGAGAGCAAAGAAGAAGGAGGTGCACGATGGGTGTGGAGTTGGGGGAGGAGATCACTGGAGGAGGGTGGGGCTATGGAAGGTGTCCTGCTGGCCTACGAGACTGGACCGGAGGCTGTGGCAGGCTGCCGATGATAGGCACATCTAGCCTAGCCCATAAGCAAATGGCAGGGCCTCCAGGCCCCAGCCTAAGCAGAGCCGGCAGCAGCAAGCTCACAGTCACAGCCAACGGCAAAGAGAAAGCCATGCGGGGGCGGGAAAGAGTCTCACAACGATGAAGAGCGAACTCTATCCCAGCTACAACACTTTGCTCCAACAGCAGCAACAGCGGCGGTCACCCCGTAACAGCAGGGCTTATGTAATGTTTTTGCGCTCCTTGGGATTTTGTTGTTTGAAACACACGCATTATGGCACACGATGGTTTTTGGACGGTGCACACTGAAAGCCAGCCGCGCTGGCTGGCTGGCTGGCTGTTTGGCTGTTTGGCGGTCTGTCCGTCGGTCCTTCGTTCGGTCCGTCGGTCGGTCCGTCCGTCCGTCGGTCGGTCGGTTGGTCGGTCTGTTTGTCTGTCGTCCGCTTGTCTGTCTCTGTCTCTGTCTCTGTCTCTGTCTCTGTCTCTGTCTCTGTCT